AAATAATAAACATTTTCAATATATGATTCACTGAGAAAAATGCATCGTTGAATTTACAGTTCAGACCTTTGAAACAACAATGAGGATCGTCACCTTTTTGTTAAACTAATGTAATTAATAAAATTCAATAATAATCAATTAAACAATTAACAAAATTGAAAACTGTGAATATAATTGGAGCAGAAATAACTTAAACCATAAATATAAACGAATATTTTAGTGTTTATAATACCGCCCAAATTTACCTCCTCCCTTAAAAGATCCGAAATCCCGCCTCTGTGTCTGTCCGTCTGTGGTGAATACTAGCACCTAAACCGTTCAGCCGATCTTGAAAATTGATATTCCTCAATCGATATGAACGAACGGGTGGCTTTGGGAGTTTCAAACGGATATTTTGATTTTTGAGGGCACTTCACGTAAAGCCTCAAAACCATTTTCAACATTTTCTTAAAAACGGCTCTAATTTATTTTGATTAAATTTTGTTATTGAATAGTGCAAAAGACGTATAAGAGAATGGTTTACATCTCATTTTTGTTGATCTCTTAAATTTTGAAAGAATTTAACTTAATTATTTTGGAATTTAGGCCGCGTGAAATTTTCCGAAAAAAACCTCACGCACCAACAAATAAAAATGCTTATTTATCCTACCACATTGATCCTACAGAACTGAGATTAGTCTCAAATAAAAGCTCACAGTTACTTAAGGCAACTTATAGTTGAATTTAATCGCTAAATATCACTAATTCATTAAAATACAAATAATTATAAAAATTCAATTTTTTAAATTTCGCAAAATAAAATTTCATTTAAAAAATAATATTATATTTTCTGTTTAATGAACTTGAAATGTGAAAAATTTCAAATCGGGATATTCATAAATAACGTAATTAATAACATAAGTAATAACGTAACGCGTGCACAGCCACAAAGTATACTGCGAGGTTGTTTCAATACTAGTGCTAGGTACTTCGAACAGTGGAGATCGGAATAAAAAGTGGGGTTGGCATAATCTTAAAACATTTTTAAATGTCTAGGTTCGACTACAGGTTATTTTTAAACCTGTAGCTTTGGAGGATTTTTTTTCTTTTTCGTTTGTTAATTGTAACTGGTTCTGTAAATCAAAGCCCTCATTCTGCGCACGCAATTCATTAGGATCTATCCGACGTAAACAAAGAGGCCCTTCTTTGAAATCCAGATGTGTGCCCTCGTCAAGTTTTCTGTCAGTATTTGTTTAACTTTTCGTAAGTTCGGTTCCATTATAGCCGCGTCAGGACGATACACTGCGCTGTCCGGTAGATCCAATTTTATTTGTTATAGAGGGCTGCCGGGTACACGTTTGTTGCCCTGGTACAAAAACATTTTGCCGCTTTCAAAAGGAATACTTTAATTAGGCACTTTTAATAGTATAAAAAGTTAAGTTATTTAAAATATTATTTACTTAAGTATTACAGATTTATTAAATAATAAATAATATCTATGTACAATATAAAATGAGGCACTTATCGAACTTTCAATTTGCAAATTGTTTTATGATACTCTCTAAATGATCTTCTGATGACTCTCTGATTTACTCATATCTGCTACTTTGTTGAAGTCATATACAAAATTAAATCCATCACTTTGGTCTTTAAGCAATTGAAACCTTTTCTCTTTAGATAAAGCTGTAGTGTCAATAATAGTCGCCTATACGGTAATGCGGTTCATACGGTATACGAAAATTGTCTTTTGGATAATTTGTTCTGTCATCGACATGTCGATAACAGAACGTAGTTTTATTTTTTTTACCTGCGTGTAGGCGGGGTGGGATGGGGGAAAGTGTATCTACATCGCACGAACTAGTAAACTCAGTTGCAGTGCTTAGCATTTTATCAAAATTATTGCGATGTCTGAACTTTCAGTTCGAAGAAGGAACGTTTTTAGAACCTCTGAGGCCCCCCATACCCACACACACATATTTCATCCAGTGATAAATAAAGATATATAAATTTAATCTGCATTACTACCAATAAAGAAGGAATTTCATTGCTGAACCATAAGAGGTAGAGGTTGTATTTTGCTGGAATTCACCCATTGTGTATTAATAAATGGAAAATTAATATTAGTTTAAATGAATACCGCAAAAAAATTGTACAAGTGAGTTCTGTTTCATTTGTTGAGTGATAACTTAGAATGAAGTATTGTTTCCCAAAGTTACGAAAATCTAATGGTCATAATGAAAAATGGTGTCAAACAAAGCGCTACATTTCAAGAACCATTTCACCAATAAAGTTGCAACTCTAAAAGAAGTTCCTTTGAGATAAGGGACTCGGCATACAATATTACATCAAAATGTATGAGATAGAATCGCGGGTACTTTTCTCAAATTTGCTTCCTATGACCATTTTTATACCTCCAAAGCAACGTTTTACTTCACATATTCAAACAGTAACTCAGAAACAGTACGAGATATCAAAAAGTGTGTAAGGACATTCTGGGTTAAAATTATATTTTCCGCCATCTCTAATGGCGTTTCAAGCTAAGTCCGAATAGATTTAGTGTTACTCTGCATTTTTACATTATTTATACTGTCGTAATTACGAGTCAAAAGTGAAAACGCGTCCGAAAGTTTTTGCGTACCCGTGCGCCACTACAACTACTACTGCTCCAAGCAGTGAAACAACTTTGGTAAAACTAGTGGTGCTAAAACAGGTCATATTTTCTCGTAATTTTTGAACATTAGCAGTCGCTAGCCAAATCCCTTAGCTCCGCTCTGTGAAGTCACGGAGGTTTAAACTCCGCTAAAAAGCGAAATCGAGACTTCCCGGGTTTCTTGTTGGGTGACGTCTAGGAACCCGGGATCTAACTGCTCCGAGCCCCTGTTCGAAGGGATAAAATGCACAAAAATAATAACAGAGGATTACTCTATGACAGGCGCTCAACGCCCAACAAAGATTCAGAAATGCGTTGCGCCGACGAAGTCGTAAGAAATAAAAGTAAAAAAAATAAAATTAAAAAAAAACTCAGAAAATTTGACGAAAATGAAAATTGCACCATTTTTAAGCGTTCTTTACTCTATCTTAGAAAAATAAATTAAAAAAAATTGGGGCTGTTTTTTGACAATTGTCAAAGTACTTCTCGAACCAGGGCAATGGCAGGGCTGGTAGGCTGTGTATGTGCGGCAAGTGTAAACCGTGTTTACGGCAGGCTTTACATAATTTGTGTTAGACTGTTAACACAATGAGTAATATAAAATACCCAACACATGACTTTAATTTTAATACATTTAATCTCATATATCACTGTGATCTATGTGATAAGAAAAACTTTGGCGTGTGACATCCTATTCCATCGTCATTCAAAATTCAGTTCAAGGAGCACTTTGGAATAAAGAATCAGGTCACCTTCACCCCTTCATTATATGTTTCAAATATAATAGTCATCAAAGGCACAAAAGTATAACAATTTCTGAAATCCTAAAGCATGATACAAATGCAGATCACCTCTTCCAGAAACATTCAATTGAATTTCTAAAAGTTGAAGTAGATAAAATCAAAAAGTAGTTTCCATATACTAGGTCTATATTACAAAACCTATTTAATTTATCACGTAAGCCCATACCTTTTTCACCTGAAACATAGCATCCTACAAATTGAAGCTTCTTCACTTGTACTAAAATTTCATTATCTACTACAATTTTCATTCTAACTGGGATTTCGCTTTTAAAAGCAATTCTTTTGTTGAAAAAACGTATATTTTTGAAATAATATTTAAAACATATATCATGTGTTGCAGCTTTTCTTGCTGTCTTGCAATATAACTATGTCATCAGTATAACACAGAGAGAGAAAATTTGTCCCTAGATGACTTTCCATTCTTTGAACATGTCATCCGTATAAATATTAAAAAGTTGTTGAAAGGCTGTAACCTTGTCTCACTACTTTATTTGTGGGGATTTCCTTTGTTAACTTTCTGTTTATATTTAAGCACACTGAGGTTCCAATACAGGTGTTTAATAGCTCCTATTAGGTGAGCTTCTTTGCAGAATTCTCCAAAGCAATGTTCTGTTCATATTATCAAAAACCTTATCTAGGTTAATGAATGCCATGTATGTGTTGCAATTAAACTCTCTTCTTTCTTCAATTATTATTTATATTGTGATTAGGGCATCTTATATGTCTGCCCTTTTCTAAAACCAAGCTTCAGCTTTCAAAAGGTTCTAAAAACGTCTGATTGTGAAAATGCTCATTACCACATACTATGGCATTATACACACTCACATTCAATGTGGTATAGAAACATGGGGAGCAACAAGTATGGGGGACATGAACCAGGTTATGATAGTACAGAAATGAGCTCTTAGATGCATATTTCAGCTGCATCCTAACCAATCCACTAATTTTTTTATAAAAATTACAAAATAATGACTTAAGTTGCAATTTATGCAAATACTGTAATTATGCTCATAAAGGAGGCGTGTACATGGAGATATTATCTGGCGATCCTATTGATAACTGACTGACATGAGACATGACAGATTATGTTATTAATGGAGGATTACTCCTGCAAAACAATGTAAGGAGGATTACTCCAAAAAGCATGAAGCGTTAGACGCCCCCCAAGGGGTTTGGAGACGCGTTTCGACTAAGTTGGCGCAACAAATTAAAAAAGTAAATAAATAATAAATAAATTTAAAAAAAACAGCCAATAACTCTCACTATATATATATATATATATATATATATATATATATATATATATACATACACACACACACACACACACACATATACATATTTGTAATATCGAGTTAATAGGAGCAAATAAATTATTATTATTATAGTTATTACTATTCCTAGAATTTATGCTGCATTCAGATATTATACATTTTAAATATATGAATTTAGAAATAATGATTATATTATGCTCTTCAAATTTTAAATACGTTTAGTTTTAATAATTTTCAGAGGAGAAACAATCATCATAAAAATAAAATTCCTGTAATTTGAATAATCTGTATCAGTTGCAATGTTCAATGAAAATAATAAAGAAAAATAAATCAATGAACAAATTCATTATTTATTTTGCATTTATTCTTACTAATTGGTATTTTTTTTACATTAATGATACCAAATTCAGTTACTTTATATTCTATCAACTTTGGAATGCTATGAGTATACATTGATGATTCAATTTTGCATCATTATGTGAACAAATTGTGCTATTTCAATAGTTGAAACAATTATAAAACTTCTCTCTTGCTTCACTTCAATTATTTGCAAAAACTGCATGTATCAACATTGTTATAAAGCACTTTCTGCTCATTAACATTCAAGAACAGAAAATAACTTTAAATCTACTTGCAAGTAATCTGTACCATTTTACTCTCTGAATTATTTCCATTTTTATAGGTAACATGAGAAAATCTTGTGTATTGTAAAATAATTTCTTATGTTCACTTGTTTTGTGTTCAAGATTTCCTCATTAACAACAATGCAATATTTACAATACATCTAGTGATAAAGAGAATGACAAACTCATCTTTGAAGGTTTACTTCGTAACAAGTGTTAATAAAATACAATAATCAATTAATGACAATAAAATGAAACAATTAAAATACCTGATCAGATATAATATATATCTTGATTTTAACCAGATATAATATATTTCAAAAAACTAGTGCATAAAATGCATGAATTTTAAAATATCAGTAGGTATGTGTGCAGGTATCAATTTAGGCTATGCAGTGATTAGCAAAAACTATTTAATTTTGAAATTAATGCAAACAAAGATCACTTAAAAAAAATCACAGAACATTACAGACCATTTTATTTTGTTTATGAAGTACAGGATTTGAAAATTATTTTATCGATCCTTATTTCATTGTGTTGGGATGATCCTTTTTAAAGGAGAAAGGCACAAACAGCCAAGTACAATTGTCCTTTGAAATAAATTCGATTCATTGTATTACTGCCACTATTTATTCAGCTGGACCAATTGCTGCTGTCTACTGAGTAAAACATTTCTTGATCTTATTATAGTTTTATCATCATTTAGTCTAACATACAAATTAATTCCCAAAATTTAGAAGTATCAAGTTATATGAAAATATGAATCCAATAATTGTAAACAAATGTCCCTATTTATTTAATATTCTATAAAATGCTAGAAATAAGAACTTTTCTGTCTAAACCACTATTCAGAAGAGATCAACGAACTGGTGAAAACAGGAATAAAATTTGATGCCAAGATAACCCTTACAGAAGAAAATAATAATTAACAGAATTGGACTTTTAGGTCACATATAATGATTTAATCTTTGTATTGAAAATAACACAAGTAAACCTAAGTTAGAGTGTACACAGAAGGAGAAATTAGAAAGATGTTCTCTGTGAAAATCAAGACAAGAAGGGAAAACTTAGCTTCTAATATAAACCATGAGAAAAAACAAAGTTGTTATTAGATTGAAGCATTGAAGTTGTATGGTATTTTGAGATTTTTGAAGATTATTTGTCTGATCTTTTGAAAAATTATAGGATTGCAATACCTCTTCAGTAGTGTCTTTGAAATCACAAATTTAGTTATCTACCAGGTACTAATGAAACAATAAACATTGACTTCTATTCAAATTGCTAATTGGCATGTATTTTAACTGATATGACTTGTCCTGAGCAAGTGCAGTAGAGCTATATGAAGGTAGAGCTCAAGAAGAAAGAACGTACAATAAACGATTGTAGCATCTCATATTCATAACATACAATATTGGGCGACTCTTAACGCTTTCCTGTGATAAAAATGTAAAGCAATAATTGCATTTATGGCTTGCTACAGACCAACCATTCTCATAACATTTAAGTTAAAGGTAAAACTACGAGACTATAACACAATTATTTTAACCCTTCCAAATTCCACATTCGGTGGTACAAATGTATTTTCTTTCCAAGACTCATTTCAATTTCTCTTTTTAGAGAAAATTATTACAAACTATTTTGACAATTTAGAGAAAAACTATTTTGACTATCACAAACAATTTTATCAACAGAACGCTTAGAAAGAATGGTGCATTCAAAAAAGGAAAACATGTTCTTTATAAATCAAAGTTTATTTCTTACTGTATTTATGAAACATGCAATCAACTTCTTATTTCTAGTACTTTTGTCTTAATAATTTGAAATAATTTAATTTTTAGTATATGTTTAAAAAAGAGAGTTTTAAGGGAGAGGTGAACTGAGAAGTCCTTTGTATTTCAAGCAACTCTGTAAATGAAAGGTTGCCTCCTTGCATCACCAATATCATATAAAACTAGTCTGACAGTTTTTTTTAAAGATAACCATTTTATTTACTTATCTATTTTGTATGCTTAAATTAAGTTGGAAGCTATTTTTACAGGAATGTCTTAGGCTCTACAAAACACTTTTTTCACTCAAGTTCAAGATTGAAACGAAGGAAACATTCTGAACAAAAATAAAATAAAAACACACCACAGATCACATAAGATAACACAATAGATGTCTTGAACTGCTTTCATGATACCTTTAAAAAAAGCACATAGTGCTTTTTAACATTCTTTGTTTACATTATACTGACAAGTCTTTTGGGCATTGATATACAGGCACATTCAACCAAGATGCTTGTTTATCCATGAAATATGAAAAATACAGCTCTACACCACCATATACATGACAATTTTCAAGTGCAAATTGCAGAAGTAGAAGCGTATACATCACAGTCTCACGAAATCATCCTCATTATCTTAAGTCTTCTATTTTCAAAATTGGGACCACCAAAACACAAGAGAAATATCATAGAATTCTTTCACATGTTAGACTTTAGATAAATGCAGGTCAATAATAATTAAAATACATTATAACTTATCTAATTAAAAACAAATGCTTTACACCAAAATTAAATTTTTAAAAGTTGAGGCTAACTGGAAGTAACATTTATATCTTGATGCATACATATCCTACCCATTACAAAACATAAGCACAGCTTTGTATACATATCTCACAAACACTGATCATGTACATTTATCACTACTCGGACTCACAAATAAAAATTACTGTACTAAAAATTACAGCATTCATAATATTGTGCAAAATAGCACCATAATAAACACAACATTGTAATAACACAATAAAAATGCACTTATTAAATTATCTGCTTTAAAAAATAGTGCATATCATATCTGTTGGCAGGACATTAGTGCTTGAAATATGTATAGATTTGAGAAGAAATTCAATTATATTGTTCAGGTAGAACATATGATATGTCGTCCCAAGGATGACGATATAATCCTTGCTTGAGTCGTTTCTGGTCCATATAATGGCCTACAACAAAGAGTGTTAAGTTGTTAAAAGTTGTTTATAGGACATAAACAGCTTAAAATCAAATTTAATGTTTATAACAAATAACCTTACCAATGAATCCAATACTGCGGCCCAAAACAAACAGGCTATTAATAGAGCCCATTTCTATGTACTCCTGGGCTTCCTCTCTGCAATTGGGAAGAAGACATTACCACTTACTAACTCTTCTTTTCCAACAAAATAAATAATTTGCACAATAATCGCTACCCTTTCCTTAAAGATGTTATCATAAGAAATTTACAGGTAGACATGGCAACATGACATACTTGTTCATGAATATATGAAGATGTAACAGGACACACTATAAAGAAATTATGAAACATCGGTTTCAATTTACTGATCAGACCAACTGAAATATTTCTTTTACAAAATTGGGCTCCAAACTTTTTATCGTACAATTTATACCCAAAACATTTTTCAGAAAGACTGAGGAGGAGACAAAGCACCTTCATGCCTCACCGACTTGGTAGGAGACAAAGTACCTATGTGAACATTTATTGTATGTTCATGAATATTCAGGTTAACATGAGATTACCATACATGACAATAAAAATAGGAAAATCTATCTTGATGTGGTCACAACACCATGAAAAAATGACATATCAATGATACAAATTTCCACAATGAAAAAACGACATCATTAACTTCATGAATTATGCTACAAGACTGTTCCAAGATCTGATTATCTCCCAGTTAGACTGATTAATATTAAAATTTTGCAAAGAAGTATCTTTTAGGCTTAAGGAGTATTTTCATGCTGTAAATGTAACATGTGTAACTGGCAAACATTGGTACAATGGACCATGACACTGACAATTACACCACATAAAGGTGCAAAATAAACGATTTCAAAAACGAAAAAAACTCAGTGTCAGAAAAGTGTTAAATATTCTGCATAGTTTGAAACAGTTACAATTCAACAATTTACAGGAATTTAAAAAAATACAAAACTGGTCTTTGCAACTTAATCAAATTTTAATTACTTGTGCTCTGTGGATACTAATTTTACTTAAAGCCCAACAATATTTTTGATTTTCCTTCTAAAAAAAAATCGGAAATTTATGACCAACAGAATAAAGAAATGAAATTCTTTTAGAAATTGTTTATTACGCTCATGCATTTATTTTTATGATATTCAGGTTTCTCCTTTCAAGCATTGTTTATTATATATTGCAATACAAGTTTTCGATTGCTGTTAATTTTATTTCTCAATAACACTTTCTAATAATTCCCCAGTTTCAACATCCAGACATCTGTACTCATTTTGAAAGTTCTTTCCATACCTTAATCAAATCCATGAATTTGAGGATATGCCTGAGAAATGAGGACATATGGGAACCTTATATATTCATTTGTAAATTGAATCAACGACCTTCAGAAGCCTAATTGTTACCCAATAGTAACCAGAGTTTCAAAGCAGTATACTTACTAGGCAAAGTATGATTACCAATCAGTTTTTCCATTAATAACCTTAGATGAACTTACAAAAATGCCAATATTGCATTTTACAAATATCAAGTCAAATAAAATAATTTAGTTGCTTTACTTGCCTGGTGAAACTGCCACTGTGTCTGAGCAAATCCACAAAACTCACAGCAATAATCCCATCCACATTGAGAATTAAGTTAGGCTTCTTGGACGTTGTGATTTTTTCAACTTCCAATGCATAACGTAACAAAGGTGTAGAGGGGAAGTGTTCCAGGACGAATTCTTTAATTATCTTAACACGCATATCTGGGTTGTTTATCTGATGGAGAAAAACATAATATTATCATCACAAAAATTACAGCAAAAAATTTTAACATTTTAAACACCTGTGTAATTATTTTGCAGCATACCGATTTAACACGATGACCGATGCCCATAATAAGCTGCCCCTTCTTTCTCATTGCATTAACAAATTCCATAGGAATTAGTCCCGAGTCATAAGCTTCACTGAACTGCCTAGCAGCTCCATCAAGTGCTCCTCCAAAACGATCACCCTAAACACAAGTAAAACACATTCATAATTTACAAGTTGGTATACAATATTCAATCATGATACACAGAAAAAACATTCATACCTATATATGTATTCAAGTGTGCACATTATTTTATAAACGGAGTCTTTCATTTATACACGCGCAAATACATGCATGCATCACACATACACGCGCGCACACATACACGCGCATGCATGCATGCATCATACATACACGCGCATGCATGCATGCATCATACATACACGCGCATGCATGCATGCATGCATCATACATACACGCGCATGCATGCATGCATGCATCATACATACACGCGCGCATGCATGCATGCATCATACATACACGCGCGCATGCATGCATGCATCATACATACACGCACGCACGCACGCATCATACACGCATGCATGCATACATCTAACATGTCCACTTGACTACATGGATGTGCAAAAAAGGCAAGTACTTAAGAATGGTACTAAATTGCAAGTTTAACTAATGCCCACAAAGTGTACAAATTCTGATAATGCAAGTAATTAAAATCTTCAACTGAAGCTTTATGAAATACAGAAAGTTATCTCTTGGGCATGAATCAAGCATGACTGTTTTTGGGTAATATTAATAAAACACCTTTTCTATGACTAGTTGCAAAAACTCTCTAATATTGCTTAAAGTTTCCAACATCACAAGTGATTTCTGGATAATATCTATTAGTCTCAATGTTATGAAATTCATTTTAAAAGTAGTTTTTAAGATTATCCATGTGTGGGTTCGTTAGTTCTACAATCCAAAAACCACTTTCTCACAAACTTAAAACATATTATCGCATAAACTTCTAGGTCATTAGCAACCACTATTGCTTGTAACGGTATGGTAACTGTAAGGATGACACAATATGATGATGATGATGATGATGATGATGATGATGATGATGATGATAGGGGTGAAAGGATGAAGACAATACCATACCCGAGGCGGGACTCAAATTCGGGATCTTTTGGTCCGGATTGCTACGGCACTACTGCCTTAGTGACAACGGCCACTGGATCGGCTACAGAACTTTTTATATTTAAAAATATTTCAAACATCTTTATCAGCACCAAAGTCATGTTTTGATATTGCTATGCTATTACTGACAAATAATTCCCCTTCCAAAACTGTAAGAGTAATTTTCAACAGTTTAATAACAGAAGCCAGCTTTTGATGTTTTGATACTTACAATAGTCAACAATCCTGATACTAGAGATGAAACCAGATCTTTGCCAGCACGAGCACAGACAATTGTGTTGTGAGCACCAGAAACTGCGGGACCATGATCAGCTGTCACCATGAGGCACATCTCAAAAAATTTACACACATATGGAGGAAGGCAGCGTTGGAACCACAGAAGGGAGATAACGCCTCCAATGCCCAGATTTTGTTTCAGTACCTGAACAAAAAATAATTTTTGTAAATATGTAAAAAAACATGAAACTGAAATTGGTTGATTGCATTTTATATTGTAAAATTTTAATTAACAAATGTCAGAAGTTGTTGCCCTCTTTTTTTAAAATATTTTCTAACCTTATTTTTTCAATAAATCTTCTGAACACATTAAGGGTGGGAACTAAATCAATTGCGAGTCATTTTATTTACCAATAATGAGCCATTTTATATATAGCAGGGAGATCTACAATATTTGATACATTTAGAAGAGCCATTTAATCTGTTCTGAATATCTAAATAAACAGCATATAAAGACAATGCAATTAACGAATTCTATCCTGCAGTGGATAGAATAGCTTATTATATCGAAAGTAATAAAGGCAACATTCATCCAAATGATAAAATACATTATCACAATGATATTGAATTTTCTTTAAGTAGCAGCCTCAAAATTTCAATGACATGGAACACCCCTGCACTTACATTATATAATAATAATAATAATAATAATAATAATAATAATAATAATAATAATAATAATAGTAATAATAATAGTAGTAATAATAATAGTAGTAATAATAATAGTAGTAATAATAATAGTAGTAATAATAGTAGTAATAATAGTAATACTAAGATGGATCAGTCGAAAGTGTGGGGAGTAAATACCTTTATGATTACAAGATTAAAGAAAGTCCGACATGTAACTTATGTCGAGAAGATATTGATGATGCAGAGCATACACTTTTGGAGTGCAAGGTATGGGATGTGGAAAGGGAGATTTGTAACGTTAAGCTTCAACAAGTGATAACTCCGGAAAACATGGTAGACATGATGTTGAGTTTGGAGAAGTGGATTATATTAGAGAAGTACTTAGTTAACATCATGAAGGAAAAGGAGCGGAGGAGTTAAATCAGTAGCTTCCAGTCAATCTTCCACGTGAAGTAATGTCTAGCGATGGATTCCGCATGGAGGAAATCACAACTTAGGAGATGAAAGTTTAGGGTTTAGTCGGGAAAATAATCCTAATAGTAATAACAACAACAACAACAACAACAACAATAATAATAATAGTAATAATAATAATAATAAATACGTCGGCCCTGTGGCACAGATGGTTATGGCAGCCATTGTCTGTACTGAGGAGGCTGTAGGTTTTAGTCTTGCATAGACACGGTTGTATTTGTGATTATCCCTTCACTCCTTATCATCATTCTATCACCTGTAATTCATACTTCAAGAAGTAAAAACCTTGTCGTACTGAGGGATACAGCTGAAAAGCTGATCTTGGAAAAATTACACACGTTAATCTTGTAGCATGATTAGTAATGGCATATACACCAATAATAATTATAATAATAATAATAATAATAATAATAATAATAATAATAATAATAATAATAATAATAAACAATAATAATAGTCATAATCATCCATCATCATCATAATGCATAGTAGGTCTGATGCCTGTTCCTGATAAACAACAGTAGATTTGGTGATTATTCCTCCAGATGGTCCTGAGCAATCCATGTTTTGTTGGGTCTTTCTATCTCTCTTCGTCCTATGGGTTTATACTTTAAAACTGCTTTCGGAAATCTTTCAGTTTTCATTCTTCGCACATGTGAAAGCCATGTCCTCTGGTTCTCTTTAATGTCATCCACTATAGGTTTTGCTTTGAGTCTTTTTTTTTCTTTTTTTTCTTTTCTGATTCCAGTGTTTCTTTGTCGATCTAAAAGTGTAATTCCTACCCCGTGCCAGAAAAGTCTCATTTGTGTGGTTTCTAATGTCTGACAGTCTCTCTGTTTTAGAGTCCATATTTATGATCCATACATTAACATTGGCTTAGATGATATGTTGTGTATTCTTAGTTTTGTCTTCGCTGTCATAACTCTTCCAATGTTTTTCTTGATTATTCCATTTACTCCATTATATTTTTGAACTTTTCTTTTTTTATCTTCTGAATTTTGTTCGATGTTTCCTAGATCCATAAATTTTGCTACTTGTTCCATTACTTTTCCATCTACAACAATTTTAACTCTCCTCATTTCTTTGCCTTGGAATGCCTTAGCTACAGTCTTATTTGTCGAGATTTTCATGTTGTATGTAAAGGCTATTTTATGAAGATCATTTGCTGCCCTCTGTAAGTCATTTCCTGATTTCATTGTTAGGATCGTGTCATCTGCATAGGGAATCATTTGGACCATTTGTCTTTTTATTTAAATTTATACCGGCTCTCACTTTTTTATCATGTGGTTTGTATACATGTTAAACAGGCATGGTGATAGCACACCCCTGTCTCAGTCCAGTCATTGTTCTAAAAGTCTCTGTATTGCTTCCATCATTCATTCTTACTTTCATCTGAGAGTCTGTACAGACTCTGGATTCCTGTTATTAAGTCCATAGGTATCTCTTCCTCTTCCAGTATTTCCCACATATTGTTTCCGTTCACTCTAACAAAGGCTTTCTCAGAAGGAAAGTTGGTACGTTCACTTAATTTTGTTTGTCCAGGATTCTAATTTTCCAAATCCATTTTGTTCTTCTCTCAGGAAATTTTCTCTATATTCACTTAATCTATTTGTTATGATATTAGCAAAATGTTTTGATATTTTAGACAGGAGAGTGATCCCTTTATAGTTGTAGCAATGTGCTTTTGTTCTAATCTTGTGTAAATATATCACTATACCTATCTACTATTCTCTTGGAAGTGAACACTCTTCCCAAGTTTCGTTAATGTTCTGTTTTTTGTAATTTATTATTCCAAGTTTTTACCCATTTTTCCTTTTTTGCCTTTTAAAACCTATAGCTTGGCTGCAAGTAATATTGCTTTTTTCAGTGTTGTCCAAAACATGTAGAAGAATTGTCCAGAACAATAGCAATATTATTATTAATATTATTATTAATATTATTATTATTATTAATATTATTATTATTATTATTAATATTATTATTATTATTATTATTAATATTATTATTATTATTATTATTATTATTATTATTAATATTATTATTATTAATATTATTATTATTATTAACAACAACAATAATAATAATAACAACACCCCGTGTGTCAGGGGTTTTAATAGAACAACACCACGGGACCTCCCCCCATTGTAGAAGGCGACAAATCGGAGCAGTTGCTGCTGTCACTCCCCTAAACATTCAGGCAATCCCACTTACTTCATGTGTCATTGCTTCCACTTACTTGTGGCACACTTCTGTTTTCTGTCCTGTAGGTCAATCTTCATATCAGCCAATCCTTGTGTTTCCGACCCCTATGCCATTAGGTTATGAGGGCTAGGGAGTCGTTTCCATTCTACTCTACTATTCTTATTCTATTCTACACTGTCCCCCCTTCTCTTCTTCCATTTTCTTTTAGCTGGCAGTAGCACAAAAATGCTAGGGGAAGGTGACCTCGAAAAGAAACCCGCGATGGAAGGTCCCTTAGGATCAACAGTTATGGTGCAGGGGATTGGAGCCCCAGTACTGGCAGCCGGTGGTAGGCAAACAGGCTCCCGGCAGTCGTCAACCAGCGACTGCAATCTCAGAGGCGTGGACCGCTTGGAGTCTCTGAAATACTTCACTCTGACAAGCGAAGGCCTAGAGAGTGCAGGTTTTAACCCCTTTTCTGGGAAGTCGAAATTCCAGAGATCGCCTCCAAGTACCCCAACCACTCCAGAGATATCTACCGACTAGCAGGAGTGAAATCCAAGCACGACGAGGGAGAGACTAGGACTTGAGACAGGAAATGGACCCGCAGAAGAAATGACCTCAGCGAGTGTTTTGATGAATAAATGGAAGGCCATACAACTGGAAGAACAGCAGGTAACAATCATTTATAGTCTAAACGAAAAACTCAAGACGAAGGCGGCGAATATGCTAAAAAATAACCTAGTAAGCGTTAAGATACTGATGGCAAAATGCCCTAGAAGAGAAAATAGAGTACCAAAAGACTATGCAATCTTTTGTAAAAAGGGAAGAGGTCAATATCATAGAAAAAAAAAAACAGTACCCACCACAGGCTCAAAGGTAAAAGAGACAGGCACTCAGCCCACCACAAGAAGAGGTTAGAAGAGGGAAGAAAGAAAAACAGAAGGCTGTGGCAGAGTCAACAGATGTCACCTATGACGCCACAGAACACCAGGAAGTGGGGGTGGAGGGAGACGATGGAGAAGGATGGCTGAAACTGCCGGAGCAAAAAAAGAGGCAAGAGAAGAAAAAAGAAAAGAGAAAGTGAAAGCCAAACAAAAGAGGCCAAGAAATAAAACCCTGAACCAGGCCATCAAAATCACAGCCAAAGAGGAACAGACATATGCTGATATCCTTACAAAGATGAAAAGTACAGTCGATCCAAAAGGCCACAACATAATCGTTAAGAAAATAAGAACTCAGAAACAGGATCTACTAGTTGTCCTTGCAAAGAAGGGATCATCATTTAACAATGCACTGGTAAGGGCAGTCAGGGAGAGTGCTATAGTTAGAACACTCACACCAAAAACCCTAGAAGAAATTAGAGATATTGACGAGACTGTTTCAGCAAATGACGTAGTAGCTGCAATCAGGAGGGCCCTAGACACACTGACCTAACAAATAGGCATCTCTTGCAGACTGTATAAGGGGTTTGCAAGCACACAAACAGCGACAGTCTTGCTACCTACTTATCTAGCCTCACAACTACTGAATAATGACAAGAGTAAAATAAAGATAGGAAGGGTCAACTGTCAGATGCGCGAGAAGCAATAAGTAACAAGATACTTCAAATGCCTAGATTTTTAACACATATCCACCAACTGCCCGGGCCCTGACCGTAGAAATGCATGCTACAAGTGTGGAGAAACAGGGCAACAGAAAAGATTACAGCAGGACACCCAAATGTGTCATCTGCAAGGATACAAATTGAAATGATGGCCACATGCTAGGAAGCAGAAAATGTTCCTCATACAACACCGAAATCAACAAGCAAAGTAAGCAACAAATTAAGGTTCCTACAAGTTAACATAGGAAGGAGAAAAATCGCACAAGATCTACTTTTACAAGTTGCAAATGAAAGAAACGTGGACTTGTTAATTGTTAGCGAACAACCGACAAAAACACGCGGCTTCAAGATGACTCTAGAAAAGCGGCGGTAGTAATACATAGTAATAAAACTGCTGTATTCAAATTTAAAGCATCAAAGCATGGGTTCATATGGGTAGAAATGCATGACCTACGGGTCTACAGCTGCTATTTCTCCCCAAATGACAAATTTAAAAAGGAAATAGAAGAACTAGAGAGGATCATAAAATCTGCCAAGGGAGAAGTGATAGTAGCGGGCGACTTTAATAGAAAATCTCCAGAAGGGGGTTAATGGAGATCTGACAAAAGAGGGGACACTGTTTGCGAGTTTATAGCAAGATGTGATCTAGTCATACTAAACACGGGAAACGTGAACACGTTCCAGAGTGGAGAAGCTGCATCCATATTGGATCCAATGATAAGCTCAAACGGCATTGCTAAGAGAGTAAAGGACTGGAAAGTACTGAATGCTGAGACACTTAGTGATCACAGCTGCATACAGTTCTCGTCCTCCAAAGACATGGGTGGCAATAAATGGGAGCCCCAAAAGCGCAGAGGACGACTACCCTGGAACACAAACATGCTGATAGAAACGGAGGCCAAAAAGTCCTAGAAGAATCAAGGCTAGTGTATAAAATAAGATGGGTGGAGAAGCCGAACACACCAGAGGCAACAGTAAAAGAAGTGAGGGATATAGTGAAGGTTGCATGTTTAGCTTCTATGCCTAGACGCAGAGGTCCAGGGAGAAGGCAACAGGTGTATTGGTGGTCCGCAGAGATTGCAAAACTACAGAAGAAGAGTATTAAAGCCAGGAGAATCGTTACAAGAACAAGAACTGATGAAATACTAAGAAGAGAGCACAAAGTATGGCAAAAAGAGCTGAAAAGAGAAATAAAGAATGGGAAATTAAAGTGCTGGAAAGACCTACTTGAAGAGGTGGAAGATGACCCATGGGGTACGGCATACAAAATTGTAACAAAAAATTTGGTATGAACAAGAAAATTCCCGGATTAGAAGACCCTGAATGGGTAAAGAAAATCATAAGAGATCTTTCCCCTAAGGGTGTCCCATGGAAAAGGAATAAACAGAGCAATTATGAATTTGATGAGAACAATATCTTTACGGACAACGAGCTGCAGATAGAGGTGAGAAAACTAAAATTCAAAAAAGCCACTGGCCCCAATGGAATCCCAAACGAAATTATTAGGATTGTTGCCCAAGAATACCCAGAATGCTAACTGTCAGAATTCAATTGCTGTCTCAGACATGGTAAGTTCCACCAAAACTGGAAGAAACAGAAATTAATCCTACTAAGAAAAGGAAACAAGCCCACAGACAAGACATCATCTTGCAGGCTATTATTGTTATTGTTATTATTATTTATTTATTTATTTTTGCAAGAGGAAAAAATGCATTCCGCACCATCAGGCATTCAGGTGGTATAATCCCTGGTGTGTGGGACTCCCACTTTTGGTGGTATACCCACTAAAAAAACCTATCTCTACTTATGCCCATGCGCTTGTTCACGGGATCGTCGCGAGGCACTACTTCATGGAGAGGCAGGCAGGTAGCTGCATAGACCTTTATGTCATCCGTGTAAAGAAGATGCGAGACACGAAGAAGGGTTGAGTTCCCTGTTCTAAGAGCAATGCCATAATTTGATGCATTTAGTAGAGTAGACGGAGGATTCGAGGCTATGCAGAACGATAAAGGGCTTAAAAAGTCATCCTGGAAAATCCATTCGCAGATGAATATAGCATCTATCTAGACAGTTTTTTATTATTATTATTATTATTATTATTATTATTATTATTATTTATTTATTTTTGCAAGAGGAAAAAATGCATTCCATGCCATCAGGGAGCCTTGAGCTGAGTAAACCAGAAGTTGATATCTGCACTGCACGCATGGCTCCAGCATGGGGATTTTTTTCCGAAGACAAAGCCTTCATGTTAGCTAACCAAGTAGTGCCAACTTTGAACACATTCTGTGAAATTCGGCCATCCATTCCTACACATGTAGAAAATGTGAGGCCGCAAGCAAAACTATCCAACACGAGACAAGTGGATATAGCGGCCATGAACAGTTGGAATATAAAAAGAGGCACGATGAAGTGGCAAAGCAGATCCATCAATTATTGGCAATGAAAACGAGTTTACTCCCCCATTTCTGTGACATATTATAAATATGTGCCTCAGAATGTGCTTGAAAGTAACGAGCATAGTCTCTGGGATTGTGCAATTATCACGCACAGACAACTCTGAGGCAATTGACGGGACGTAACTTACATCGATAGAAATCATCAGCAGGCTTTCCTTATCAATATATCAATAGCCAATATTCATAACGAATCAGGAAAACATCAAGAGAAGATCCGAAGTATACCGATCTCCCCATGAAGTTGCAGCTCAGTGGAACTTCAGCAGAGAGACAACTGTGCCAATGATAATATCAGTCACAGGAGTGGTCCCTAAACACTTACACTTCCAGCACTAGAGTGTCTTCACTTGGCTGCCAGGAGTACATACAATATGCAGAAGCAGTCATCTTTAATACATGCCGTATTGTTAGAAACCACCTGAAACTTCAATAAAGCTACCTCACTCCTGGTCATCATACCTGTGAGTGGTTGACATACCGACCAGTAAAATTGAATGACATTAATAATAATAACAATAATAATAATAACAATAATAATAATAATAACAATAATAATAATAACAATTTTATTTACCTATATATTAATTTATGTGTAAATAATGATGTTTACAGATGTCTGTTAAAAATGTCTTGTTTCAATTAGCTTCAATTTAGTTTCCATTTCAAACTGGTTGATATTCCAATATAGTTTTTTTCAAGTTAATAACTTCAATTTAATAATTTATTTCTGCATGAAAAAAACAAGACGTTTCTAACACTACCAGAAAAGAAAAAAAGAAAAAAGGTTTCCATAATGTATAGGAGCCTCTTATTTTTGATCTCTTCCTTCTTAACTAACTAATAATAAAAATTACATTTACAGGTACCCTGGAAAAGTAATAGCTTCTGAAGATATTTTCTAAGATCCACAAGAACAGAAGTGCAAAAAGTTACAAAATTTTTGGGATTTGTGATAAGAACAAATTAATTTTTTGCTCTTCCTTTAAACTACATTTTTTCAGAGGTAAAATGTAACTTTAATTCGATTTATTTCACATCTTCAGAATGGGACCTCACCTAGTTTCACATTTAAACAGAAATGGGTATCTTCTCAAGAATGTACTTTTTTCACCCCAAGGCCAGTACAATTGAAAGGTACAGAATATTAGAGATATGCATATTTTGCATACCACTACCTTACAGTCTGAATCTGGCTAACTTCCATGTCACTTACCATGGTTTCCCCATTCTGACACCCCAGAGGCCCATGAATTTACTAAATCCAAACTACTGTAGCCTGTGAGCCTCTAAAAGCCAGCTGGAAATTAGCTGGTGGAGGGACCATGGCCACACCATGGCTCCACTGTTTCCCATAGGATAATATCGAAAGCCACCTGGCGTTGCCAGCACCATACTATTCCCAGGAGTTTAGGTACACAGGAAATAGCACTATCGAAGTGTAACACTAAGCCTCTATCACTCGCTCCTATGCCACCCAAACAGGCCAGGAATAAAGAGATGTTATGGGAAGGCTAATTCATAGTGGGGGGGGGGGTGTCTTTGTGGGACTCGCACTCGCAACATACTGAACCCAGCTCCCCAGTGCACTTGTGCCTTCGATACCTCAGCCATCACCCCTAACTTACTTGAAACTATTTTGTGTTCATACTGCCCTGCTGTAGAATGTATTGATCAAAAAATAAATAGGAAAATTGTGTAGTATACTCACATCACTAATAGGCATTCCTGCATAATTTAGCTCTTGTCCTCGTTCATCACAAATACTGGTCATAAAAGATGCAGGTTTACGGATAAGACCCAATTCCTGTAACAAACAAATGGGCCTTTAGAATACACTTTTGCCTAATCTCAAGATCTAGGGATCACAATCAGAGTACTGGCATTTTTTTTTTTGAAATCATACCAAAGCATCATTCTATACAATTGTCACATTAGTCTTGCAATCCATTTATTATAATAATAAAATAAAAACAACAATAATCCATAAATATTATTTATGGTTGTGTATGACTGTACATTCACAAATACTGAAAATATTGAAAAATGAAGTAAAATTTAAAAAAATAATGGCTTATAAAATTTGTAATTGTTTTCATTATTTCACATAGGATTGAAATCCTGTGAACTAAACATTTATAGAATAAATCATAATTCAAATAATGAATAGGAATATAAAGAAGAATTTGAAGGCAAAATATAACAATTCGTGATATACTGATCATATACTAAATATTCTTAAAAAATATCACCAAAAAATTATATTAAAAAAAGGAAATAAATTTATAATTAAACAAAAAATTAATTAAACAAACCACTGGACAGATTGTGAAAGTGAAAGTACAATATCACCGCCAGATAACGATGAGCACTCCCCCTCCTTTTTTCTCCCCCCCCTTTTTCTTTTTCACTCTTTTTTTCTTTCATATTTAGGTTTTAATATTCTATATGCTTCTAAATTGTTTGACAATTCCCTGAACAGTTGGAAGGCAATAAAATTATGTGATCATCTAGCTACTTCTTTATTAATTTTAGGATTAATGAGAGTAGTACACCTTTAGATATTTGAAGTTTTTGTTAATACTCATTTTGCAGTTTTTCAAAATTAGTCATTATAGATTATTATGAATCTGACAATACAGACAGATTCATTTTGGTACATGTTCAACATATTGCAAAGTACAGTCATCTCCGGATGTGGTGAACTATGATATAGAGAACTGAAGACACTGGTATTGATTCACATACATAACAATCACTAGATGACTGTTATAACGAACTTTCAACATCAATTATATACATAGTAATAGTTATACATAGTAAATACAACTTCCAGGAAAATAGTTCACCACAGTATTGCAAATTACTAAGACCTAAGGGTTTGCAGAGAGAGAAAAGGAAAGAAAGAGAGAGAGAGAGAGAAAGAGGGAGAGAGAGAGAGAGAGAGAAAGAGGCTTTCTCTCTCCTTTCTCTTTCCTCTCCTCTATTTCTCTCTCTCTCTATTCGCTCTTCTCTTTTCTTCTCTCTCTCTGTTCTGTTCTTCGGTCTCTCTGCTTTCTTCTCTCTCTTCTTTCTCTCTCTCTTTCTTTCGTCTCTCTCTTTCTCTCTCTCTCCTTTCTTTCTCTCTCTCTTCTCTCTCTCTCTGACTTCTTCGTCCTCGTCTCTGTTCTTTACTCTCGCTTCTTGATCTCTCTCTCTTTCTATTTCATTCTCTCTCTTTGCTTTCTCTCTCTGACTTT